CGACTTGTTTATTCTCCCTGCAGTGTTTTGTTGTACGATAAAGGACAACCACGAGATGTTTATTTCTTAGATGAGATATCAACATTATGTACAGCTTTTTTAAGGATGTTAATACACTGTACACGCTTCAAAACTATTTACCGGTATTAAAATAACGATGACTCCCTGAATACAATCCGACCTCGGCAATGTTGGACAAGTCCATGTTATGAACATGGGAGTTTAGTTTGGTATTTCCCAGATATTATCAAAATTTTCACGTCGACCATCTGTACCTTTTCTCCCAAAACTGATTGTCATATCTCGCCCACTTTTGGATGCGATTTTTCGGCCATTACGTTCATCTACTCGCTGGACACTTCCCTATAAAAACTAACGTCGTCCAATTTACATCATCAAGTTGCGAGCTCATGTACGAATCCCTAGAACTGACGTCTTGTTAGAACTATGTTTTATGGTGAAATAAACCACGCTTCGTTTTTCACACGTTGTGGCATTGTGAAAAAACATATTAGGACACGGAAGATACTCCGAAGGACACGTCCCCTTCGTTTGTTACCAACTGAAGAGATGTTTCTATAAACGATATTTTATTACCTTCATACATACGTTTGGAAGATTGTGAAGATGATATAATTAATAAAATTTAACCATGAAAAGACCGTATTACCATTCAGTGGGAGTAAATGTGTCAGGAGATACGTACATCATCATCTTAATTATCCCGGTACAGTAAGAATCCTTGAGATTCGTTCAAAACAAGACGATCGTGATGTTGAATAAAAAAACAAAAACACATTCAGTGCACATTAAGCCTAACACTCGTCATTACCAGTGTCCGTCAAATTCCACGCAAGCCATGCCATCAATCTCCTGCCAGGAGAGAATATCTGGCATAGTTGGTCTGAGTGGGTTGCGGTCAAGGGTTCAAGATGATGACATTAACATATGAGTCGAGCTATCCATTTCAATCAGATTCTAATCAAGTCTGTTATTCCTACGAAGGTCATAAACCCATGTACAGTCAAGTCTCGTTAATCCGACACTCGTTAATCCGACAATCGGCTTTATCCGACACTAATGTTGGGAACCGATTAAATCAGTGCTATTTTGACCCGTTAATCCGACAGTCTCCCGACTTCGACACACCTTATTTGCAACGAATTACCGAAATCACTCATTAATTAGTTTTGTTAATCCGACACAGTGATCAGCGTACTCCGTGGTCATCTGCCCGCGAGTACACAGCCCGTGTTTAGATGCCATACGAATCGGCTGGTAGCTGCATATTACAACGGCTGCAGAGATAAACTTGCTTAACAATAAACAATTAATGCTTTAAATAAGTAAAACAGGATACTTCACATGCTTAGATTACCTCAATCTTATTAAAATCAGATACAAGTTCTCGCTATCGACGAGGACATCCCATTACAGGTCACGTCAGAACAACCTTTCGCGAACTATGACCTTCCAATGAAATGACCAACAGGAAGTCGACGTTAGCCACTTAGAAAGCAGCTTTCTTAAGCTTTGGGTACCAGTTTCAAAGTTGTGACTTCCATTCCAGACTATGCTTTTTAAAGTATTTTGAATCGGTCATACAGTTGTTTTGTGTTAAACTTTAGAAGTTGCATGATTAGAAAACATATTCCACCAACAATGTAACATAACAATATGAATATTTATTTAATATTTTTTTATTACGTGTTTGAATCCTTATCTATCGTGTAGTTGTCCGATTTTCGATAACGAACGTTGATACTACTAAATTTCGTTTATCCGACATACTCGTTAATCCGACATAATCATATGCAACCATCGATGTCTGATTAACGGGACTTGACTGTACAGAAAAAGTGAATATGATATGTTAGTACATAGATGATACATCATAATTTAATGAGAAAGTTTTGTTTTGATTCATAACTTTGACGTAGATATCTTCATAGGTTTCTGAGTAACACCACACAGCTAAAAGAATCACACTTTAGGCAGACAAACATGTATTTTGGTATTATAAAAATGAAATATGGGAAAATGGTATTCATCTTCAACCCCTTGGTTATGAGGAGGGTATACACGTAACCATTTCAGATTTAGACCATTGAAAATTTAACCATGGTTGTTGTAAACTTAATGAATGACAATTTATTATGCATTCGTTCCTCTCACATATTAACACAGGACAGTTATATTGTTATTAAATAACTATATTTGCATGAAAATATACATTCGATGTATGTGACGTCTATCTCAACATTTCCAAGTGTACCTTGTCAGTGAGGAGCCATGTCTATCTCGACCTTAACGATGTATATCGACATTGACGGGCTATGTGTATATTGACACTGGATCGCCTCCGTGGTCTAGTGGTAGGGCGTCCGCCCGGAGAGCGGAAGGTCCGGGGTTCGGTGCCCGGCCGCGTCGTACCAAAAGACGTTCAAAGATGGTACTTGTTGTTACCCTTTAGCATTAAGGGGCTAAAAGAATAACTGGTCGGCTCGGAGTCAGTATACTGTGTCTGAGTGGGGTATTCATGTTAAACTGCGGCATGGTATCTCAGTGTGCTAGCACTATAAATCGGCATCAGTCCGGACTAGTACAAGCAGCCACACACACAACGTCGCTATATAAGTGCAATAATCTTGGACACGACGTTAAACCCCATTTCACCTGACATCACCTCATGTATATTGACATTGACAGGATCTCTATACACATCGAAATTAACATTTTGTATGTGTTTCGACATCGACATCCAACGTTAACGTGCCGGTGACGTAACGGTCTCAAACAAGGACGTTCTAAAGCGTGTGTGTCCACATTTGGCCTAAAAATCTGTACGAGACCTCTTTTCATCGAACTAAGAAGCCTGCGAGTGGACAGCCAATTCTTCCTGAAGAGCTAGCGTAAATACTGTGTATTTTGAGGCCCTGTTTGACGTTGGCGTAAACGTGTACCTAACTGAATAATGGCGCCCGATGCTTGGACAACTCGAGAACGTACACCTGTTGAGATGCCCTGGATATGAAGAAGGCACATCCTCCAACGAATCTGTCGATACACACAGTTCTGCTCATCTCTCCTTAAAAGAAGAGGGGCGGTCGGGTAGCCTAGTGGTTAAAGCGTTCGCTCGTCACGCCGAAGACCCGGGTTCGATTCCCGACATTGGTACATTGTGTAAAGCCCATTTCTGGTGTCCCCCGCCGTGATATTGCTGGAATATTGCTAAAAGCGGCGTAAAACCATACTCACTCACCCACTTAAAAGAAGAAAACCCTGTCACTTAACCAAACCTTAGGTAAACTATTTTGAAGCCACTGATGAAGAGAACACTGCAACCGTTGAAGTCGATAACGCAGGGCCTTCTTACTCGGATTCCTGCAGCTTGTAAACGGTTTCAAATAAACGGTCGGATCAGATATAGGACGTAAACAATATTTTTTGGTACGATGCAGTGTGTCGTGTTTCGAAGGGGAAGGAGCCGGGTGTGACGACGCTGGGCTGCTGTGGTGATACAGGACCTCTAGTGTTGCCATGTTGCCGACATCGCGCGCAAAAGCCAGGAACCTGTCCTTTGGGCCTGTCCTCATTTCGCCTACACCTCATTTCGCCTACACCTCATTTCGCCTACACCCTTATCAAAACAAATTTACAGCTGACTGCACATAAGTCAAGTGCTGTTTTACCTCTAAAATAATGAACTGACCCAAAAGAAGGTTAAACAGACAAGACAATCTTGAAGCTTCATACATTGTTTAATAGCTGATATTTACATTATGCAGTAATAATAATAATGACTCATGATTACTGTAGCTTTAGTACATATCCAACGGCATCAAGAAATTGCATTACAGTTAAACAGACAAGACAATCTTGAAGCTTCATACATTGTTTAATAGCTGATATTTACATTATGCAGTAATAATAATAATGACTCATGATTACTGTAGCTTTAGTACATATCCGACGGCATCAAGAAATTGCATTACAGTTTTTCTTCCACTAAGAAGCTGTGTCTTTAGTCTTTCAATTCTTTCGTCCCTTTGTCTGTCAACACGAGCTCGGGGTCTGCATGATCCTCCAAGATCAATTTGTTTCCTGGAGCGTCTGTCTGCCTTTTCAATCTTCTTGATCTCCTTCAAGAACTGATAGATGTTAGGGTGAGATCGGGGCATTCTCTTTTTCAGTCCACAGTGGAACCCTTCCAGATGGTTGTTGGATCGGGGACCGGTGTTGTCGTGCTGGTTCCAAATATGGCAGCTAATTGCGCCTTGCCGCTAATGCTTATGATTCTACAGGCATTAGCCTGTTTCCCAAGAAAACAAATCATGGACGCGTCAAAGGCCACCGATGTTAACCCCATCAAAAGCAATAAAACCGTTTTTATTAAAATCAATATGAGGATCTCCGGTTATAAAATATCCGAAGGGTGTAAAGTTGTGAGTGAGTGAGTTGGGTTTAACGCCGCTTTTAACAGTATTCCAGTTATATCACGGCGTGTCAGCTTAATGTGGGAGCAAAACCCAATGCGATGCAGGTCTCAGACGTTTACCACTTCGGTGAAACCCATGAGCACGGGTATGGTGCTGACAAACCTAGAAACATAATCGGGGCGAACCGGGATTCGAACCCACAATCATAGGTTCTGGCGTGCCCAAGGGACGCAACTCTGCACAGCGAATCGCGGCGCCTTAGACGACTGGGCCACCCGTGCCCCCTGTCAAGTTGTGAGACTGGGTGATATGGTATTCACCTGAAAACTGTCATCAATTTCCTCTTTTTGAAATTTCAGCTTATCTTTATTTATGACCGAGTTTGCAACAGTAAAACAGTTTTACATGTCAGCTATCTGAAATACATTATTAAAATTCGCCCAACCGACTTTCAGCTGATATTCTTGTACCACTTTGCCACTGCATCAGTTTTACTACTTATCGACTTTGTTTTTTCCAGAGCCTATCCCATATTGTGCTTCAAGTCGCCTTGGGATTTCCTTAATCTGTTTCCTGGGATTTGTCAACATGTACACTGTGAGATTTACCATTGTACCAGGCAGCTGTGATGTCATAAATACCACAGACTCGACCAACCAATCAGCTGTACGAAATGGGATGACAAGTTGCCTCGGATCGCACATATGCAAGGTAAACTGGGGGTGGGGGTGGGGGTGGGGGTGGTGGTGGGGGTGGGGTTGGAGAAACTATACCGTGTTTGCTTTTTATGTAATTGAAATTGAAAAACAACTGTTGTTAAATTTGATTATGTCTTTTTAACGATCACTCATTCCTGCTACAAATTGTAAAAAGTAATCTGTGGCTGGGTAATTTTGTGTAAAATAAATTGGTTTAGTGACAACTTGGGTAAGAAATCAATTTACAACTACATGACCCCCCACCTTTTTATGAAATATTTAAAATTTGTCCCAAAAAGAAGGCAGATTTAATTTAATAATTTAATAAAGATAATTTAATTTAATTTCAAAGATAAGATGTTTAACATAATTACCATCAACAGTTGTGTATTATGCGAAATTTTGATTTTGAATGTTTGGAAGTTTTAAATCAAATAAAAGCCATATAGAAGTATCCATGAGTGCTGACTAAGCACAAGTGCAATTCATGGATATACTAACATAGTTACACTTGAGATCAAACATGATCAAACCAACTGAGAGGCATTGTTTCTTTTTTCCCCATGTTTATATGACATTAGTACAAAACGTGTGTGTATGTGTGAGCATGCATGCGAATGTAACCCTGATATTGGTGGTAACGTATATTTGCTTCTCGCTGGAATAACCGCGTGGGCAGTCCGAGGCAGAATAGATACCGAGCACACAATTCTCGTCGTAAAGGCAGACTAAAAGAAGGAACGGGTAGGTATAATGAGTGATGAGTGCCACAGTGTGTCACCCTGTCCTTCACGGCGTTCCCAGAGCAACTACAGGTTTGCCTGATCGGGGGAAGCAGGCTCAAATCAATTCCTTACAAATATTCGCTCTTGAATGATTTGAGCCTTGGCTGGAGTGTTTTGAGTCTAGGCTCAGGTCACTCCCCTCTACCAGGCCGAAAACACTCACTCCAGACTCAGATCACTACCCTCTACTAGGCCGAAAACACTCACTCCAGACTCAGGTCTCTCCCCTCTACCAGGCCGAAAACACTCACTCCAGGCTCAGGTCACTCCCCTCTACAAGGCCCATAACACTCACTCCAGGCTCAGATCACTCCCCTCCACTAGGCCGAAAACACTCACTCCAAGCTCAGGTCACTCCCCTCTACCAGGCCGAAAACACTCACTCCAGGCTCAGATCACTCCCCTCCACTAGGCCGAAAACACTCACTCCCGGCTCAGAGCACTCCCCTCCACTAGGCCGAATACACTCATTCCAGGCTCAGATCAATTCCCCTCTACCAGGCCGAAAACACTCACTCCAGGCTCAGAGCACTCCCCTCCACTAGGCCGAAAACACTCACTCCAGGCTCAGATCACCCCCCTCTACAAGACCCAAAACACTCACTCCAAGTTCAGATCACTCCCCTAGGCCCATAACACTCACTCCAGCTCAGGTCTCTCCCCTCTACCAGGCCCAAAACACTCACTCCAGGCTCAGATCAATCTCCTCTACCAGGCCCATAACACTCACTCCAGCTCAGGTCTCTCCCCTCCACCAGGCCCATAACACTCACTTCAGGCTCAGATCTCTTCCCCTCTACCAGGCTTAAAACACTCACTCAGTGAACTGAGCCTGGGGTGATGGTATTACTAGTATATTGACAGAACAGGAAACCTACATGCCAGATCATTTCATAGATACTTTTACTGAGACCTTGAAAGATCCGCCCATTCAAAATTGGCATTTTTCTCTGTCACTATCCAGTAAACCATCAAGTTTTTCCCTCCAAAAACAGTTTCTGTAGAAAGCAATATTTAGTTAATGTAACGCTAAACCATTTCAAATAACACTTGCAAGATTCAGATGGATCTCACGCGAACTCTTTATCGAAACGGGAAGATATGGAGATATTAAGAGAACACAAAATTTGTCATTTTTTGTATTTTAAAACTGTAGACAATGAATATCCTTTGTTATGAATAAAACCCCTAAAGATACCATATATACATAGCATTAAGCATTTACTACCAATTTCCTCTAATAATGTAGTGTTACCTTTGGTCTCATTAGCATACAATGTATATGATTTATAATGAAATAGTATGGCAACAATTAATACAATCAACAATGGACATTTGAAATAGTATTGTGGGGTGATTGGGGCCTACGAGAGTAGAGTGCTCTGAGCCAGGCCACTCAGGGAGTGATTTCAGCCTTGGCCCAAGTTACTCGAGTGATTTGAGCCGGGTATTGAGTTGAGCCTCCTACACCAAGATTGATTGAGTGAGTGAGTATGGTTTTACGCCGCTTTTAGCAATATTCCAGCAATATCACGGCGGGGGACACCAGAAATGGGCTTCACACATTGTACCCATGTCGGGAATCGAACCCAGGTCTTCGGCGTGACGAGCGAACGCTTTAACCACTAGGCTACCCGACCGCCCCTACACCAAGATTGTGTGATCTGGTATTGCTGATATTGCTAGCTACAGTGTACAACAACATTCACTCATACCTGTTCCAATGTTATATTTGGGAGAACTCTTTCTTGGTGAAGTACAAATTCTAGTACCTTTTTGTGCTGGCAATTAGATGCCTCACTCTGTCAGTGTGGGTTCGAATCCCGGATGTGATTCAACCCCAAAAAGTACTTGAGTCTGTACATTACTAAGAAAGTGTTATCCCAGATATGACATTTGTTATATTTGACCACTTTCGCAATGGCATTGTGTATTCATAGCTTTCAGCCAGGGGAGCCATGCTAATTTACATATGTCAGTGGGGAATGACGCGGCCGGGGATCGAACCCCGGACCTTCCGCTCTCCGGGCGGACGCTCTACCACAAGACCACGGAGGCGGCAGTACTTTACTGAGAAAGTGTTATCCCAAATATAATATTTGCTACATTTGACCAATTTCTAAATGGCTTTGTGTGTTCATTGTTCCACCCTTCCGTTGAATGTGGAAGTGAACGAGACCCCATGTTAAGATCATCAAACAGTGTTATGGCGGGAGCGATCAACAAGGTGGTACTTGTGTCGAAATATCTTTTATGTCAGACATAAGAACATTACAAGAGGCTTGATAATAATTGTGACCAGTTTGATATGATGAGGTGTGATCACCGTATGCTCCTATCCTTTTTTGAAAGTTCTGATGACAGCCTTCTAAATTCACGCACAATACAATTACTAAATTGTGATGAGTACAAGTAACTATCCAATGATGGTAGTCCATGTTATTCCATTTGAGGACTTTAGTTCAGAGCCAGTTCTCAATACTTTGATTTTGCTACAAATGAACTTTATTTAGAACTGACAGGAAAAGAAAACAGATTAAATAGTTTTGTCTCGTTCGGTCAGGACTAGCTACAAACTCTGAGGACTTCTGAAACAAGGTCTGCACTGATCCACTGGACTTGTCTTAACAAAGACGGATTTCCAAGGCTGTCTGGACTTTGAATTAGTACCCGGTAACAGGTTCCCAGATATGAAGTCAGTACCCTGTGTCACTTGTGACATGGGTGAACAGGTACTCTCATTGCGGCGTAATAATACCGAGTCACCGTTCTAATAACGTGAATTCATTATGCTTTGTACACAGTATGGGGAAGAAGCCCGACGATTGCTGGCCAGCTCTCTACTCTGGGGTGACGTCATCAGTCAACTGCCCACTGGCGTGCTTGCGTGGAAGTTTGGCGGAAAGATCGTATTGTGCACGTGCATGTTTATTTCAGCGCTTACCACGCTTCTGACACCGTTAGCGTTTGAGACAAACAAGGAACTGGCCGTAACGTCTAGGTTCATATTTGGCCTGAGTCAGGTGAGCTTTGGCTAGCTTGCATGTTTGAATGCGTGTGTGTATGCGTGTGTGTATGCGTGTGTGAGTGCGTGCATGTCCCCAGCAATAGTTTGTCTTTTGTCATGCCACATATAATTATACAAACACAAGTCTCGCATATGTTTATCTGGAAATATTTGTGGCAAGTGTACGATTAAACACAGCTTCTGTGGTTGTCTATCGCTTTGTATTATACATAGTGTGCCTTGAATGGCCTTGAATAACAAGGACCTGATATATACGATTACAGGGAGCCACATGGCCAGCTGTACAGACACTCCTGGCGAGATGGTCACCTCCTCAAGAATCTGGTAGACTTGCAGGACTGGCTTACAGTGGTGAGTAGGTGCATGTACACAGACAGTGATGGCAAGATGGTCACCTCCTTAAGAATCTAGTAAACTTGCAGGACTGGCTTAGTGGTGAGTAGGTGCATGTACATGTACACAGACAGTGATGGCAAGATGGTCGCCTCCTCAAGAATCTGGTAGACTTACAGGACTGGCTTACAGTGGTGAGTAGGTGCATGTACACAGGCAGTGATGGCAAGATGGTCACCTCCTCAAGAATCTGGTAGACTTGCAGGACTGGCTTACAGTGGTGAGTAGGTGCATGTACACAGGCAGTGATGGCAAGATGGTCGCCTCCTTAAGAATCTGGTAGACTTGCAGGACTGGCTTACAGTGGTGAGTAGGTGCATGTACACAGGTAGTGATGGCAAGATGGTCGCCTCCTTAAGAATCTAGTAAACTTGCAGGACTGGCTTAGTGGTGAGTAGGTGCATGTACACAGACAGTGATGGCAAGATGGTCGCCTCCTTAAGAATCCAATAGACTTGCAGGACTGGCTTACAGTGGTGAGTAGGTGCATGTACACAGACAGTGATGGCAAGATGGTCGCCTCCTTAAGAATCTAGTAGACTTGCAGGACTGGCTTACAGTGGTGAGTAGGTGCATGTACACAGACAGTGATGGCAAGATGGTCACCTCCTCAAGAATCTGGTAGACTTGCAGGACTGGCTTACACTGGTGAGTAGGTGCATGTACATGTACACAGACAGTGGTGGCAAGATGGTCGCCTCCTTAAGAATCTAGTAAACTTGCAGGACTGGCTTACAGTGGTGAGTAGGTGCATGTACACAGGCAGTGATGGCAAGATGGTCGCCTCCTTAAGAATCCAATAGACTTGCAGGACTGGCTTACAGTGGTGAGTAGGTGCATGTACACAGACAGTGATGGCAATATGGTCACCTCCTTAAGAATCTAGTAAACTTGCAGGACTGGCTTAGTGGTGAGTAGGTGCATGTACACAGACAGTGATGGCAAGATGGTCGCCTCCTTAAGAATCCAATAGACTTGCAGGACTGGCTTACAGTGGTGAGTAGGTGCATGTACACAGACAGTGATGGCAAGATGGTCGCCTCCTTAAGAATCTGGTAGACTTGCAGGACTGGCTTACAGTGGTGAGTAGGTGCATGTACACAGGCAGTGATGGCAAGATGGTCGCCTCCTTAAGAATCCAATAGACTTGCAGGACTGGCTTACAGTGGTGAGTAGGTGCATGTACACAGACAGTGATGGCAAGATGGTCGCCTCCTTAAGAATCTGGTAGACTTGCAGGACTGGCTTACAGTGGTGAGTAGGTGCATGTACACAGACAGTGATGGCAAGATGGTCGCCTCCTTAAGAATCCAATAGACTTGCAGGACTGGCTTACAGTGGTGAGTAGGTGCATGTACACAGACAGTGATGGCAAGATGGTCGCCTCCTTAAGAATCCAATAGACTTGCAGGACTGGCTTACAGTGGTGAGTAGGTGCATGTACACAGACAGTGATGGCAAGATGGTCGCCTCCTTAAGAATCCAATAGACTTACAGGACTGGCTTACAGTGGTGAGTAGGTGCATGTACACAGGCAGTGATGGCAAGATGGTCGCCTCCTTAAGAATCCAATAGACTTGCAGGACTGGCTTACAGTGGTGAGTAGGTGCATGTACACAGGCAGTGATGGCAAGATGGTCGCCTCCTCAAGAATCTGGTAGACTTGCAGGACTGGCTTACAGTGGTGAGTAGGTGCATGTACACAGACAGTGATGGCAAGATGGTCGCCTCCTTAAGAATCCAATAGTCTTGCAGGACTGGCTTACAGTGGTGAGTAGGTGCATGTACACAGACAGTGATGGCAAGATGGTCGCCTCCTTAAGAATCCAATAGACTTGCAGGACTGGCTTACAGTGGTGAGTAGGTGCATGTACACAGACAGTGATGGCAAGATGGTCGCCTCCTTAAGAATCCAATAGACTTGCAGGACTGGCTTACAGTGGTGAGTAGGTGCATGTACACAGACAGTGATGGCAAGATGGTCGCCTCCTTAAGAATCTAGTAGACTTGCAGGACTGGCTTACAGTGGTGAGTAGGTGCATGTACACAGACAGTGATGGCAAGATGGTCGCCTCCTTAAGAATCCAATAGACTTGCAGGACTGGCTTACAGTGGTGAGTAGGTGCATGTACACAGACAGTGATGGCAAGATGGTCGCCTCCTCAAGAATCTGGTAGACTTACAGGACTGGCTTACAGTGGTGAGTAGGTGCATGTACACAGACAGTGATGGCAAGATGGTCGCCTCCTCAAGAATCTAGTAGACTTGCAGGACTGGCTTACAGTGGTGAGTAGGTGCATGTACACAGACAGTGATGGCAAGATGGTCGCCTCCTTAAGAATCCAATAGACTTGCAGGACTGGCTTACAGTGGTGAGTAGGTGCATGTACACAGGCAGTGATGGCAAGATGGTCACCTCCTTAAGAATCTGGTAGACTTGCAGGACTGGCTTACAGTGGTGAGTAGGTGCATGTACACAGGTAGTGATGGCAAGATGGTCGCCTCCTTAAGAATCTAGTAAACTTGCAGGACTGGCTTACAGTGGTGAGTAGGTGCATGTACACAGGTAGTGATGGCAAGATGGTCGCCTCCTTAAGAATCTAGTAAACTTGCAGGACTGGCTTACAGTGGTGAGTAGGTGCATGTACACAGACAGTGATGGCAAGATGGTCGCCTCCTTAAGAATCTGGTAGACTTACAGGACTGGCTTACAGTGGTGAGTAGGTGCATGTACACAGGCAGTGATGGCAAGATGGTCACCTCCTTAAGAATCTGGTAGACTTGCAGGACTGGCTTACAGTGGTGAGTAGGTGCATGTACACAGACAGTGATGGCAAGATGGTCGCCTCCTCAAGAATCTGGTAGACTTACAGGACTGGCTTACAGTGGTGAGTAGGTGCATGTACACAGGCAGTGATGGCAAGATGGTCACCTCCTTAAGAATCTGGTAGACTTGCAGGACTGGCTTACAGTGGTGAGTAGGTGCATGTACACAGACAGTGATGGCAAGATGGTCGCCTCCTTAAGAATCCAATAGACTTGCAGGACTGGCTTACAGTGGTGAGTAGGTGCATGTACACAGACAGTGATGGCAAGATGGTCGCCTCCTTAAGAATCTAGTAGACTTGCAGGACTGGCTTACAGTGGTGAGTAGGTGCATGTACACAGACAGTGATGGCAAGATGGTCGCCTCCTCAAGAATCTAGTAGACTTGCAGGACTGGCTTACAGTGGTGAGTAGGTGCATGTACACAGGCAGTGATGGCAAGATGGTCACCTCCTCAAGAATCTGGTAGACTTACAGGACTGGCTTACACTGGTGAGTAGGTGCATGTACACAGGTAGTGATGGCAAGATGGTCGCCTCCTCAAGAATATGGTAGACTTACAGGACTGGCTTACAGTGGTGAGTAGGTGCATGTACACAGGTAGTGATGGCAAGATGGTCGCCTCCTTAAGAATCCAATAGACTTGCAGGACTGGCATACAATGGTGATAATATATATACATGTCCACAGACACCAGCAAACCTGTGGGATTGAAGATATGTGGATATTTGTACGGAAAAGCTATGAACTTAACAGATTTGCAAAAGATGAAAGAAATTCTAAATCATAGAGCTAATCAACCAAAACGTAAGTTTTTTAACGCTGCATTTGGTTCTTAAGTAACACCTAGAACTTAGTAGTAGAAGTAATAGAAGTAGTAGAAGTAAAGTGCCGTTCATTTCATTCCAGGTTCGCAAATTGGCATCATTGGCTCCATCGTCATGACGCTCTTCTGCACGCATTGGTGTCAAAGTCATTGGCCTAGTTTATTCTATATTCAAGGTAAACACTGTTTCAAATATATCACATAATGAATGCAACAGCATAAATAAGCGTGCATGTGTCCTAGTAATACAGCAAGGATATAGTGTGTAGGGAACTGTTATACTGTTTATATTCTCCAAGAAGTGAAATGACCCAATGTTGTACGGCTTGCCTTAGTCATGCCAGTACTCGCTGAAAGTGATCACCAATATAGAAAACGTCTGTAGCCTTTCAGCAGAACGCGTAGTTGTTTGAGGTATCTACATGCTCTCTCTCTCTCTCTCTCTCTCTCTCTCTCTCTCTCTCTCTCTCTCTCTCTCTCTCTCTCTCTCTCTCTCTCTCTCTGTGTACTGTTTTAAGGTTGAAATGCGTCACAAGAACATAAGAAAATGGTAAAAAAATTGTAATAAATCAAATCGATGATAACTGCAATGATGCAGTTGCATTTTGTAAAGTTCGTGACAGAACTATTAGCCAGGAAGGAATTAATAGGGAAAGGACATTTACATTTAACATGTGAATGTTTCCGAACATTTCACATTTATCGTAGGATTGTTTCAACATTATCGTCGATAGTTATTGGATCATGAATGAGGTAAGATACTTTTCATTTGTAGAAACAGGAAGTGAGTTACAAAATCAATTATAGACAGATGCTCATTCTGTCACGTAGGCTTCGGTATTTTTTCCGATTACAACACACATGAGTTCATGGTCAGATGTAACTTTTGTCGAATCAAATTGAGGCATTGTTACATTTGACAAAGAAAGGTTAGACTCGAACACGTTAAAAACATACGCTCAGCACTAGCTAGGTGCGCGGTTTTGGCAGTGACTGAGGCAGATCATTACCCCTCCGTTTGTCCAGCCTTGCCTGTCTTATGTAGAAGTTGTATTTGAAGATGGACCGGAGCGCTATTAAAAGTATGTGGGTATAACCTATGTTTTGTGTTTACTCTTGGTGAGTGCAAGGGCCGGTACATGCATACTGATAGAGACCGTTCAGAGTAAGAGTTGATAGACCAATCACTCCTTGAATAAGATGACCAGAGTCTGACCAAGCGAGTTGCTAAGTCATGGCTTAGCTTGTCTACGACGACACGGAAGGACAATAAGTTAGGTAACTGTATTAGGGCTCAGTTAACCCCAAAACGCAGTTACGACATTAGAGCCCCCTTTTTTTTCCAGGAAATTTAAGTTTGCTGTGGGTAATCGTCTGCATAATAATCGTTACTGATACTCCTTCCGGTAATTCCCGGATATCCGGTGAAGAGAAAGAATACATAACCGGAAGTCAAAGGAATCGGGGATCATTTCCAATACAGGTATGTCACTGTTGACCGAGTGTATAACCATAGAGCGGAATTCAATTGTTCTGAATCTATTATTAATAACTTCACGATTTATCACCAACTAACGCATGTTTAATGATATGGTAAACAATTGGGATATCCATTCTCACATGATAAAATTAAACTCAAACTATTTGGTGATATTGAAGATATTGTGTGATTAGGTTAAGACCTAGATTTGGGTTGGTTATCTATTTGATCAAGGGATTATCATGAAAACACATTTAAGCAAAAAAGTACTTTTCTCTCAATATTCGCTTAGGTGGTGATACAGCTGTGAAACCGGCTGTTTAAATAGTAGGCGGTTATTGTGACTTACATTGACCAATCAGAATCGAGTATATTCTAAATACATGGTAGGAGACACGAACTTGTGACTCAAACATATGAAAAATAACAGCTGTGCTAACTTGTGACAACCTATGTTCTGAAAACAAATACAATTTTTCAGGATGGTGATACGGTCCCTTGGCGTGGCATGATGACGTCATATCCTCTGTGGGGTATTCTAGTGAGCCACACTTGCGGAGCTGTAGGAAGTCACGTGTATCTGTCTTGTATATCTACCTTCATACAGCATAGTATCACTGATAACACATACAAGGTACACGTACAAGCACTGAATTGCATTTTATTCAAGAACAGCAACATCTTAATCTAGGAGTTTGTGCTGGCAAGGTAGAGGTTTGCTGTGGGTGTTATGGAGTAAGGGTGTTGTCGGGGTGGAGGTAGGGTGTTGTTGGGGTGGTTGTAGGGTGTGGGCTGGGAGGAGGCTGGGTGTGGGCGGGGTGGATGTAGGGTGTGGGCTGGGAGGAGGTTGGGTGTGGGCGGGTCGGATGTAGGGTATGGGTGGGGTGGAGGTAGGGTGTGCGCGCTTGGGCCTAAGTGTTGTCGGGGACGAGGTAGGGTGTTGTCGGAGTGGTTGTAGGGTGTGGGCGGGTCGGATGTAGGGTGTTGTCGGGGTGGAGGCAGGGTGTTGTCGGAGTGGTTGTAGGGTGTCGGCTGGGAGGAGGCTGGGTGTGGGCGGGGTGGATGTAGGGTATGGGTGGGGTGGGTGGGGGTAGGGTGTGGGCGCTTGGGCCTAAGTGTTGTCGGGGTGGAGGTAGGGTGTTGTCGGAGTGGTTGTAGGGTGTGGGCTGGGAGGAGGCTGGGTGTAGGCGGGGTGGATGTAGGGTATGGGTGGGGTGGATGTAGGGTGTAGGCGCTTGGGCCTAAGTGTTGGCGGGGTAGGTGTAGGATGGTCAGGGCGAGAAGTGAAGAGGTCTAATGAGTCGCATCTCGCTGTGAAGAGTAACGTGCCTAGGTTGTGCCATGGTTTACTTGTCATGGGTTCGAATCCAAACCACACCCTGGTTATGATCCCTGGTTCGTCAGCTCCAGATCCAACCTCGTTATAGTCAAGTGATCTCTTACACGTGTATGACGTGCGTCACTTTTGGTTTGCATTCCACATTAAGCTGACACACCTTGATATAAATAGACTATTCTCTCACTCACTTAATGCATTACCAATTTTGTAACAATCAGTATATCAAACAATGTCTAATCGCCTCCCGACCGCACGTTCACAGTGACTTGTATATGCTCGCAATAAAAATAATGTTACTGATTTGTTCGTGTTTCTTCAGAGCGTCTTGCAAGCCACTCCACATTTCGGATTGTTCGTGGTCATAGTGTTGACCGGACACATTGCTGACCATATCCGCTCTACCGACTACCTGTCCACGACATCTACAAGGAAGATATTTAACTCGATAGGTCAGTTTGATCGTTTTCCAGAACCGTAGTATACATGCTGTATGCCACTCAGTACCGTGGTATACCTGCTGCATGCAACTCAGTACCGTGGTATACCTGCTGCATGCAACTCAGTACCGTGGTATACATGCTGTATGCCACTCAGGACCGTGGTATACATGCTGTATGCCACTCAGTACCGTGGTATACATGCTGTATGCCACTCAGTACCGTGGTAGACATGCTGTATGCCACTCAGGACCGTGGTATACATGCTGTATGCCACTCAGTACCGTGGTATACATGCTGTATGCCACTCAGTACCGTGGTATACATGCTGTATGCCACTCAGGACCGTGGTATACATGCTGTATGCAACTCAGAACCGTGGTATACATGCTGTATGCCACTCAGGACCGTGGTATACATGCTGTATGCAACTCAGTACCGTGGTATACATGCTGTATGCCACTCAGGACCGTGGTATACATGCTGTATGCCACTCAGTACCGTGGTATACATGCTGTATGCCACTCAGTACCGTGGTATACATGCTGTATGCCACTCAGGACCGTGGTATACATGCTGTATGCAACTCAGTACCGTGGTATACATGCTGTATGCCACTCAGGACCGTGGTATACATGCTGTATGCCACTCAGTACCGTGGTATACATGCTGTATGCCACTCAGTACCGTGGTATACATGCTGCATGCAACTCAGTACCGTGGCATACATGCTGTATGCCACTCAGTACCGTGGTATACATGCTGCATGCAACTCAGTACCGTGGCATACATGATATATGCAACTCAGTACCGTGGTATACATACTGTATGCAACTCAGTACCGTGGTATATATACATGTTGTATGCAACTCAGTACCGTCGTATACCTGCTGCATGCAACTCAGTACCGTGGTAAACATGCTGTATGCAACTTAGTTCCGTGGTATACATGCTGCATGCAACTCAGTACCGTGGTAAACATGCTGTATGCCACTCAGTACCGTGGTATACATGCTGCATGCAACTCAGTACCGTGGCATACATGACATATGCAACTCAGTACCGTCGTATACATGCTGCATGCAACTCAGTACCGTGGTATACATGCTGTATGCAACTCAGTACCGTGGTATACATACTGTATGCAACTCAGTACCGTGGTATATATACATGTTGTATGCAACTCAGTACCGTCGTATACCTGCTGCATGCAACTCAGTACCGTGGTAAACATGCTGTATGCAACTTAGTTCCGTGGTATACATGCTGCATGCAACTCAGTACCGTGGTATACATGCCGCATGCAACTCAGTACCGTGGCATATATGATATATGCAACTCAGTACCGTAGTATACCTGCTGTATGCAACTCAGTACCGTGGTATACATGCTGCATTCAACTCAGTACCGTGGTATATATACATGTTGTATGCAACTCAGTACCGTCGTATACCTGCTGCATGCAACTCAGAACCGTGGTATACATGCTGTATGCCACTCAGGACCGTGGTATACATGCTGTATGCAACTCAGTACCGTGGTATACATGCTGTATGCCACTCAGGACCGTGGTATACATGCTGTATGCCACTCAGTACCGTGGTATACATGCTGTATGCCACTCAGTACCGTGGTATACATGCTGTATGCCACTCAGGACCGTGGTATACATGCTGTATGCAACTCAGTACCGTGGTATACATGCTGTATGCCACTCAGGACCGTGGTATACATGCTGTATGCCACTCAGTACCGTGGTATACATGCTGTATGCCACTCAGTACCGTGGTATACATGCTGCATGCAACTCAGTACCGTGGCATACATGCTGTATGCCACTCAGTACCGTGGTATACATGCTGCATGCAACTCAGTACCGTGGCATACATGATATATGCAACTCAGTACCGTGGTATACATACTGTATGCAACTCAGTACCGTGGTATATATACATGTTGTATGCAACTCAGTACCGTCGTATACCTGCTGCATGCAACTCAGTACCGTGGTAAACATGCTGTATGCAACTTAGTTCCGTGGTATACATGCTGCATGCAACTCAGTACCGTGGTAAACATGCTGTATGCCACTCAGTACCGTGGTATACATGCTGCATGCAACTCAGTACCGTGGCATACATGACATATGCAACTCAGTACCGTCGTATACATGCTGCATGCAACTCAGTACCGTGGTATACATGCTGTATGCAACTCAGTACCGTGGTATACATACTGTATGCAACTCAGTACCGTGGTATATATACATGTTGTATGCAACTCAGTACCGTCGTATACCTGCTGCATGCAACTCAGTACCGTGGTAAACATGCTGTATGCAACTTAGTTCCGTGGTATACATGCTGCATGCAACTCAGTACCGTGGTATACATGCCGCATGCAACTCAGTACCGTGGCATATATGATATATGCAACTCAGTACCGTAGTATACCTGCTGTATGCAACTCAGTACCGTGGTATACATGCTGCATTCAACTCAGTACCGTGGTATATATACATGTTGTATGCAACTCAGTACCGTCGTATACCTGCTGCATGCAACTCAGTACCGTGGTAAACATGCTGTATGCAACTTAGTACCGTGGTATACATGCTTCATGCAACTCAGTACCGTGGTATACATGCTGCGTGCAACTCAGTACCGTGGTATACATACTGTATGCAACTCAGTACCGTGGTATACATGCTCTATGCAACTCAGTACCGTGGTATACATGCTGCATGCAACTCAGTACCGTGGTATATACACATGTTGTATGCAACTCAGTACCGTCGTATACCTGCTGCATGCTACTCAGTACCGTGGTATACATGCTGTAGGCAACTTAGTTCCGTGGTAAACTTGCTGCATGCAATCCAGTACCGTGGTATACATGCTGTATGCAACTTAGTTCCGTGGTATACATGTTGCATGCAACTCAGTACCGTGGTATACATGCAAAAAGAAACAAAATAACTTAAAATGTTGCGATAATATGTTTCATTTTCAAGAAGATGTATTTAACATCAATCTCAATGGCATTTGTTAAAGTTTCAAGAAAACAATGTATACTTTCAACAACGTTTCTAGAAAGCACACTGAAACTTCAACATTGTATCGCGATGATTGAATATGAAGTTTATTTTGCTTATATTGGCTCGTAGAGAATCACTGTATTAATGGTATTAATGCAGGTGAACTGACCCCAGCAATAGTCCTCATCATCGCCGGGGTCCTGCCCTCCTCCCACCCTACCGTCAAGCTCACCCTCCTCGTCACGGGCGTGTCCCTCACCGGCTGCGTCTACTCTGGCGGCTACATCATCAACGCCATCGACATCTCACCACAATATGCTGGGATAGTATTCGGTATCTCCAACACCGTCGCATCGGCTTTCGTCCTCTTAGGCAGCGCAACAATTGCCGAAAGTGTCCATGCCGTAAGTGTTATAATAGTGGTGTGCGTGTTTAGAGAATGCGGTTGTATTTGTGATTTCTTCCTATTTTTCAGAAGATTCTAGTTATTTCAAAAGAAGTTTTTAATCTAAATTTGACATCGGCGGAATAGCCGGCTTCCTCGATCTCATTCACACAACGCATCCTATGTAATCATGGCACCGTGAAGAAGTACAAGTATTATTCTTGACCATAAATTTCAAATGTGACCTTCTCAAAACCATTGATTAAGAACACACTGGCACTAGAAAAGCAGTTGTTAAAGACATTACAAAGATTGTAGCGTAATATGCATTGCTTTTAAAGTGTTTGTAAATTGTTTCTGTGTGAGTTGACGTTCACAATATCTAAAATGAATCAATCATTGTGATAGAAGGCGAGAAAATTTCATTGCAACAGAGAGTTTCGTTTTGAGCAGAATTTCATTAATTTTATATCACGGCGTTTAAATGTGAATACACACCACAAAAAAGAAAGAAAGAAAGAAGAAAATATTACACTGATTAATTTGTCTTTCTATACCCGACAGAATGAATGGGTTCTCGGCGAAAAAATGTGTTTTCATTCGAGAAGTATCATTGTATTTCACTGTCTCATCCGTCTTAACCATTTGCATTTAGTTAAACAAGGTGCACCAGTATTGAGCCATCTGTAAACTGCCAGCACATGCACGCGATGAAGACGTCATTCAGCAAGCTTCCTGTTTGTATTTGAATATTTCATTCCGGCAATATTTTACATTCCAGGGATATCAAGGCAACTGGGAAATTCTTGTCGTTGTCACTGCAACAATCTACATCTTCGGCAGTCTCTTCTACCTCGTGTTCGGCAGCGGGAGCCCCCAGCACTGGAACACGACGCCATGCCCAACCCACCACGATGAGACACGCGAACCCGACATCGCCAACTCGGCAGCAAAGCCAGTTACGACGCCTCAAATAGGAGGGGGGACATGCGCGTCGTTACACGTGGACTTTATTGATGAGGACGCGCGGACATGACGGTTGTGTACAGAATGCCCCACAACATATGTCAGTGTTTCAACTCGTTAATGATTCTACAATTTTAATCATCTGCAATGGTCCATAGTGGCACTGGCAAATCCTGTTTCCCGAGGAAATCAACCTCCTGGAAGTGAGCTGACAGACTTTGTGCATGATCGTGCGCTGATGACATGGGTCGATGCTGACAACACATTGGTGTATTGCGCGTGATGACTTTCTGATTTACAATGTCACACTGTTTAGATATTCTGAGGTTCTGACTAAAATAAACGACAATTAATGCCTTTTTACCATCAAACATACTAGTTTTGTGAATATTGTGTGCGGAGTAGATTACAGTTTACAAAATATTTCAAACTATTGTCATGAAGTCTTTCAATGTCATTTAGAAGTGATACACATAAGTAAGAGAATTTATGGATGTCAACTGTTTTATTATGAGGAACCCAACGTTTCGGGGTATTTACTTACTCCTTCGTAAGGTGGAGGAGTAATTATATATATACTCAAAGAAGTTGACATCCATACGTATTTTTGTGCGGATAATGAAATAAAAGTGTTAAAATCTATCTATATAAACTTCTATCGTCGTTGTCACTGCATCATATCTGGCTTCTAATAAACTCGCAGATAGGTCCGGGGCGGTCGGGTAGTCTAGTGGTTAAAGCGTTCGCTCGTCACGCCGAAGACCCGAGTTCGATTTCCGACATGGGTACAATGTGTGAAGCCCATTTCTGGTGTCCCCCGCCGTGATATTGCTGGAATATTGCGGCGTAAAACTATACTCACTCACACACTCACTCAGATAGGTCTTTCAATTGCCGGGTGGCATACTCGTCTAAACAGCCGCAATTCGTTATGCAGAGTTATGGCCATAATGCATGCGATCTATGATCATAGGTTCAAATCCTTGGACTCCCTGATATTGGTTTAAGGCTTGTCGGGCCGCGCTCGTGGGTAACACCAAAGGCCTTCATCACTTCTGGCTTTCTTCCAAACCAACTTAACACGCCGTGATAAACTGGGATATTACTCATGGCTGGTCAAGACTATAGTTCTCTGGTGTTGGCGGTTCCTATGTATGTGATAACTAAAGCTCCAAGTATATTGTCGACTTGAAGTTTAACTTCAATGAATGACATGTCGTCTAAAATGAGTTCGACTTTTCAAATCAACCAAAGAGAAAATTGCGATGATAACCAAATTTTGGGTTGAAAAACTAATGAATTTGAACTCATTTAACATTATATACAATTTAACATGTGTAAAAGGAACGGAATGAATGGAAAAATTATTGATTGAAAATTGTTTTTAATCAAAGAAGTAAGGATTCGAAAAGCTTTTGAAGACCTGTTGACGGATGCACGAACGATTTTGAAAACTTAATTGGCACCGAATACTGCAAAGGTCAAAATACGAAAGTGAGTGAGTGAGTGAGTTTGGTTAAACGCCGCTTCGAACATTAACTCTGTTGTATGACGGCATGTCAGTTTGGTGTGGGAGAAACGATATGCAAAGAAACTTAAGTAATTTTACTTATTTCAAGAGATCTAGCATGTCCAGTTGATATTGTGTTGTTGTCAACAGTGCCGCATCTAAGTTGGTCTTTTTATCATTTGCTTTTGTTTGTGTGTGGGTGGAGTGGGGACATCAAAACTCCAGCGAACTTATTTTTATTATACTATGAACGTAAACTGCTCCCATGTGCTATATATTTCTGAAGTGCCACAACCTTTAAGTGTAGCTCTACACACTATTCCATGCAAGTACGTGTATTGGTGGGTTGTGTTGGTATGGTGTCTTGACAACAAGCTAGATGTTGACTTGCCCTTCTTAAACAGATCTTAGGTAGGTGAACACAAGATTAGTGGTAGGATTTTCTTGCAGTTTATTTTGTAAATATCAACTTGTAGCGATGGGTAAACTCAACTTAAGTGACTGGGGAGAGAATATCATTATGTATAGAAAGTAAGTATGGGTTTACGCCGCGTTTAGCAATATTTCAGCAATATCACGGCGGGGACACCAGAAATGGGCTTCACACATTGTACCCTTGTGGAGAATCGAACCCGGGACTTCGGCGTGACGAGCGAACGCTTTAACCACTAGGCTACCTCATAGCCCCACATCATGCATAGACGAGATCCTTACGTTAATAGTTTTCTATAAGGAATACAAACAATATGATTAAGTGTCAACCATAACACTGTAATTGCATGCCCTAAGACTCATGGTGAAACAGATACATTATTTAATAATACATTTGTAACAGTAACGACAAGAAAAGTATTGTATAAAGGGGGAAGGGTTGAGAATATCTTTTAGCTATGGAGAAGCATACTAAAATAGGACCAGCAACGTGGTTGTTCGATAAAACACTCTCAAGATAAAATGCTCTGTGCACATTTGTTTTATTAAACAAATAAATCACAAATCGACATCGGATTGATTCATGCAGAGGCATCAATGTCCTCTGTTGTATGTACAAGGTCGTCGGCTGTCGTGATCTCACTGGTGACACTGGCCCCGTACGTTGGTAACCATCGGACGGTGGGAAGGCACACCGTATGTAGCCAGGGAAGGGGAATGAGCCCTGCCCCAAAGGGGTGGGGAGAGAGAGAGATGAGGGCCGAGACCCGGTGCGGCGCCAGGCACTCGGCCAAGACAGACATATCTTTCCAGAACACGTTCCTAAACACGAAACCAGAGCGGATGGCTCCAACACAGCGTCCGACTCGGCCAATCGCGGCAGAGCCTACCAGCGAACATTTCTAGGTATATATTCATATCAAGGCAAGTCACTTATATATACAAGGAGTGTTATACGCAGTTCATATCACTTCTAAATTAATAAAAACAGGCAAAACTTCAATTCAGGACAATCACAACCTCTAGTGGGACCTCGTTCTGGTAGACGTCTTCGCGGCGAGCCTCGTTTTCAGCTGTCAATTACAATGTCCATGGCGATGTCTGTCTGAAGTGAATCTGCCCCTGGGGTGTACACAGAGCGTCACCCGAGGGTCAAGGTTAAGGTGAGGGTCAAGGTGAGGCGTGAAGTGACGGTGAGAACGTTTCAGACACATAATGATCTAGTTTTCATCCTCTTCTCTACCCTTCAGTTTGGCTGTGAACGCTTTGTAGTCGAACTGTCCCTTGGCAATGGGGGCCGCTTTCCACGTCTGCTTGATCTGAAAAACGACACGACAAGCGTAATACACCCATTTAAGTAATAGGTAAGGTGCGTGAGTGAATGCAAAAGCAGTGTCATGGGAAGTCCTGAGTGAGGTAATCGTTTACCACTGTAGTTGAAGCCCTGATCACGAGAATGGAGAATGGCAAACTAATTTTCAGGGTGAGCTGGGGTTTCGAGTCCACGATTACAGGATCCTGGCATGCTCAAGGGGCGTAACTCAGGTTTGCAGAACATTTGGGGATACAATGTACTTAAGTTCACAACAGCTAAATAAGGAATAGTGATTCTTGGAGATTAGTGTGTGTGTGTGTGTGTGTGTGTGTGTGTGTGTGTGTGTGTGTGTGTGTGTGGTTGCTATACTAGGCCGAACTAATATCGGTTTTCTTCAGCTAGGCAAATGAGACACCATGCCGCAGTTTAACATGGATACACTACTCAGACACAGTACAATAATTCCGAGCCGACAATCTGTGTGTGTGTGTGTGTGTGCGTGCGTGCGTGTGTGTGTGTGTGTGTGTGTGTGTGCGTGCGTGCGTGCGTGTGTGCGTGCGTGCGTGCGTGCGTGCGTGTGTGTGTGTGTGTGTGTGTGTGCGCGTGCGTGCGTGCGTGTGTGTGCGTGTGTGTGCGTGTGTGTGTGTGTGTGTGTGTGTGTGTGTGTGTGTGTGTGTGTGTGTGTGTGTGTGCCAAGCTTCAGGATTAGACACGGATGTCCCGGGTATCTAAGGATCCACAATTCACTGTTCAGAGTTGGGTCATTCAGGTTTGCCAGAAACATATGAGCCCTGGGTATTATTCTGGGTTCTTCGGTGCCAACTAGAGCTCGTAGATTTCACTAAAGCGGTCAACGCCTGAGACATGCGTCGTTCCCGGATTTCCTTCATGATAAAACCGTCACGCCGTGATACAACGGACATGCTGTCCAAAGCATCGTTAAACCAAACTCACTCACTCACTCACTCATAATCAGAGCAAGATTGTACTGATGGTGCGGCACCTAATGAAACCAAACCACAAGAAGCTCATGGTCACGTGATGGAAATGAAAACGCTAACGGTAGGACAGAGAATTCTGCTTTTGAGACAATATCGAAATGTTTACAGTTAAGGAATAGGCTGTTAGATTTAAGAACAAAAGTTCTGCCCTGGAAATATTAGGTATAACACGAGGACGCTTACGAGAACGTTTACAATGCTTACAAATAGTGTCAGGTGACACACTATGTACTTGCAGACCTGAGGTATCCTCGTGACTGTACTCTCAAGGATACCACCATCAATTTGATCAGATAATATCCCGGACTTCGAAATATCCGCCGATAAGGAATGCACATCAAGTCCCCAAAACTTGAGTGAATTATAAAATAGAGTCAAACCACACTTGGTCTTACTATTATTATACCAGGCTGAACCAAGAGGGTTGATGTTAACATATGTGCGATGCATAGGTGTCCGTTTGTAAATTAAAAGTTTATCAAGAAGTGAGTGAGTGAGTGAGTGTTTTTAGCAATATCACGGCGGGGGACACCAGAAAGGGCCTTATCAAGAAGTGGAAATAAAGCATCACGTTTACTTTTAGTCCACTGCACTTTTTACATCAACTGTCCTGAAAACTTCCTGTCAGAGTTTTGCGGTACATTTAAAGTGTATTGTGAACAGGTGGGAAATATCTGGTCATTTGGAAAGTCCAAGGTAAAAAGTATCAATAAAGTTTTTATATTAAGAAGAATTTTAACTTTGCAATTCACAAGAGTCGGAACCAGTGCTACCGGACATTGTTCTGTCTGAAGGTTTCGTTCATGTTCAGATACTCACTTCATCGGCGGTAAAGTTATCACCAGTGTTTGCTAACAAGTCCTTGATGCTGAAAGAAAGTAAACAAATTATGAAGCTCAATTCCACTATGTGAATATTAAACATTAGAATATCATAAATCTGCTTACTTGACATAGATGATTTTAGAATTGGGTGTGGAAATATATGTAGGAAAGAAAACTTAGAAAAACAACAAGGAGATGTGGAATGGCCATGTTTTGTAATAACGAATTGACATCTCCGAGATCACATGTCCGATGTAAAGGGTTTTAAATTCTTATAAATATCAAAATGTGAAATGTGTATCACTGGGTGAGGAACATGTATACATTTCGGACGTTGATGTCGCCGGCGTTACTTACTATTCCTCTGCCAGCGTTCCCTTGCCCTCATCGTCGAACATAGCGAAAGCGTTCTTGATGGTTTCCTCTCCGTCAGTTCCTGCAAGGAAGAACTAGGGTTATAGTCAAGGAGGATCATTTGGCGAGTTCCTCATTGCCAAAACAATGGTGAGTGAGTGAGTGGGATTTTACGACTCTTTAAACAATATTCCATCAATACCACGGCGGGGGACACCGGAAAGTACACTTTGTTCCCATGTGCGGAATCGAACCCTGATGTAGGCGTCATGCAGGAGCACATTCCACCGCCCTACACAGCAATACCATGCTTGTCGTAA